GCAATAGTGTCAATACAGGGGTTATCAACTATCAGCTCAGCTTTAATATAAATAACTAGATGTCGAAATACTGTACTAAACTATTGAACTTATCCGGATCAGGGAGGGTTACTCTCGGTAAAGAGTGAGGGGTACGAATAGTTGATTGCTAAGCAGAGATTTTGTCTTCTAACAGGAAGAATTCGTCAGTGATTTATCATTCTATTGTGACTGGGTCGGGTTGTGCAAGTGAGATCTCGGTAATCGGGTTGATGCAGTAGGATCCGAAATAAAGAGAGACAGCAGATTCGAAGCAACTAAACTGAAAGCAGGGTAGATCAGAATCTGATGTAAGAATCGACTAAAATGGGTATAGGCCAGTAGTCGAGAGTGACAGGTGCGCGAAGCAGAGTGCCAAATAAGTAACTAAATGGGGACACTATATAGGATCTGGAAACGGGGGAAAGTGTACAACGATGCCGCAGATCTGAGAGAAGAGAGGATAGCATAATACTTCAGTACGGATGACACGATAAATATACCTAAACTTCATAGTCTGCGCGAGGCTCTCGGTAGCTGGAAAGGAAGAATGAAAAGTATACCGATCTTAATAGGTTGATATATTCATCCGAATATAATGAGAACATTCAAGAATATATTTGAAATTACTCTATAAACAGTTTCATTTCTCAACCGATGATATTATACCGGTATTTTCGTTTTGCGATCTAAAGTCAATATATTCTATATCAAATAGATATTATCAAAAAAGAAAGTTTTATCATAATTTGATATCATTTTGAATAAAGTATTCAATAAATAAATGATATGAATGAATGATATGAATGAATGATATGAATGAATAGAAGCCTGATGATTTATATATAATTTCCCCCTGTTTCCTCCCAATTTCGATAATAATTAGAGACTTGCATTCGCTCATTCACTGACATTGTTGTAAGACTTACCAGGATTGGTAGCGGCCCGGGCCGTGTAGATCACTGCACGCTAAAAGTGTTCGTACCCCATGGCTTTTTCATATAGAGCTGCCGATCATAAGTAAGTTGGAGGGGGTTACATAACGACCACCAATAGTAGGGTATCTAGCCAAATCATAATCCAGCTATTTCTGAACACTTACATCTCTCAACAAATATAGACAGAACACGCACACTTGCAGGAGCCAGCAGTAGGCTGGGAACCACAGACTCGACACGTTTAGGTCTCAATAAAATCACCCATTACGCGCTAAATCTACAAAATGCAACAACACGACCAATGCATGCACCATGTAATAGTTTGTACCTTAGTTCTCTTCCCGTGATCTTCAGCATTCATACTGTGAGAGTTTTACTTAATACGAGAGCGGTGCCTTCTTCATTCTTGTTCCGAGAGGTTTTCTCGAAAAGTAGGCGCAAAAGATACAAGGAGGCATTTAGTGTCGCTCGCCTCTTGTCTCCGAAATGGGTGGCTCGTTCAAGATAGGTCACGTAGTCGCAGTTGCAAGCAAACATCCGTTTTATTCTTCTCATAAGTACCCATTAAGTCCTAAAGAGGTGGAAGAGATAACTAGTCGCGAACTTACGCCAAACTGTGCCCATTCCCTCTTGTCGCAATGCCAGATTATTCGCAAGGAAGATTTGTGACTCTTTCAATTTACCCTGTAAATCACTTAAGCTAACGATAATCAGATATAAAGAGGTTACGCGGCTTTTCGAAGACGACGACCCTCTCAATACTTTCCGGCACAGTACATATATTAGCATGACAGGTGGAGGGGGTGGGGGTTCTCCATGTCTTGTATTCTTAACCGACAGCGTGGAGAATCGCGCGCAGCGAAAAGCCTGCAGTAATCTCCTTCGTTATATGAACGTATTGAAGGCGAACGATTGTGTACTATCCATGCACCCATCTGGGAAAATGTACAGGTATGAGAGAGCCGCCGATTATAGTTCAGTACTTCTAACACTTACAGAGCTCTCGATCTTGTTACTGAAATAGTCGAGAATGCTGGAGCAAGTGTATTGCCTGTTGGCCATCTTGCATCGCCGCAAGAGATTCTTGCTGCCTGTAAGGAATACGGTGCAAACGCTCTCACTGGAGATACTAGCCGAATCGTTCAATTCACCTCATGGGTTGAATCTGCTAAAATGAGCGATTGCTTACATATCAACAAGATATTGTACACGTCAGAATCAATGAGCCGTACCCAAAGATCCTACATTCAATCGGTTTTTGGTCGCGATGGATTACCCGTCATCTTTTCGTCATTGCTTGCTAGCGCTGAGATGGGACCATGGGCTGTAGGATGTTTTGATCTGACTGGTCCGCAAAAGGACGACACTGCCGACCTGATTTTTGACACCAGGCACATGATTGTTGAAGTTATGCCATTAGACTTCGATTTGTCCACTCGTCAGAGTCCTTGTAGGATAGTTGAAGGAGAGACCGGCATGTTAATCGTTACTTCACTACAACGGTTACGAAATCCACTCGTGAGGTATGTCACCGGTGACATTGGATCCATCCATCACCTTCCGACATCAACCTCGTTGCAGCTAGGGAAGGATTCAGAGCATCTACGAGTCTTGCGGCTGCATGGTCGTGATTTACGGAATTCATTTAAGTGGCAGGGTGAGTATTTCGAGCTTGACACGCTGAAAGAGCTGATGTCGAATCCTTCTTGGGGTATTGTGCTGTGGCAGATCGTCTTGGCAAACAATCCATCGAATTGTGAGACCCTCGAAATTCGACTTATGCAAAAAACAGGGGCGGGTGGCTTGATTGCGCATGAAGATATATTGGAGATTTTAAAGGGCCATTTCTGTGCCCATGCCAGTAATGAGTCACTCTTCCATGCCAATCTTCACAGTCGTGACGACTTTATACGAAGTTCTTCTGGAAATAAAGTTATTAAGTTGGTAGATAGAAGGGGGAAAATGGAATAAGGTAGCGTGCGTACAAGCTTTCGGCAGAATACGTTTAAAATCCAATCGATTCTAATCCAGATAAACGTCGAAGGCAAATGTGCTTCTTACCTCTGCTCACAAATCCACCTCCAAATGTATTTAAATTGATCCTTTCAATTCAATCAATTGATTCTACCACTATTACCGGGCTTAGCCTAGAAAGAATTATATATTTGGAAAGCCTTCAATTGCTTTAATCTGATGACTTCTTTTCCAATCGTTTCATTAATTTATTCAAGATTTTATACGGGATTGAAATGATTTCGTGAGCTTCCTCTCTCAGTTTCCCCTACCTGGCCGGAAAAACAAGCTCAAATCAATTAAAAGTTCTGTATATTACTTGTAACCAATCAGAAGGGGTTTTGTGAATATACATATGACAAAAATGACCTACCTAGCTATAGGAACATATAATTATATAATATAAAGAGTATACAAAACTTGATTTACGAACTAAAATATTATTATCTCAAAAAATAACCGATATAAATTGCTAGACTTTGAATATCACTCTTAATATTTGAGGTATTAATATATAAAAAAGTAATTTCTTTCGTTTTAGAACTCAGTCTGTATATATTATATTTGATATAAGTCTAGTTCTCAGTTTAAATATTACTTTTATTAAATATTAGATGATCTATAAGAGATGATTATTAGCACTAAAAAAAACAATTTATTCACTAACTGACTAAATGACTAAACTAACTATATATGGAATTGTCTAGGTCCATATAGGCCATTCTCTATGAAAGAAAAGGTCGTGGAACAAAGGGGCTAGAATTCAAGTAGCTTAGAGCCTTTCCATGAGACAAATATACTAGTGTCAAAAAGAGTGAACGACTATCTACTAAGGTGAGAAGCCAGTGAAATGTGGGATAGTCTCTTTTCATTGTGGGGCACAGTCAACCTTCTAGTCATTACTGTAAAGTCGATAAAATTATCTCTGCAGCATGTTCTGCAATGGCGTAAACAACGCCTTGAGGATTTGATCGAGGTGAGATGGGCATAATACTTGCATCGCAGACACGAAGATTGACACAACCGAAAACTCGGAGCTGTGGATCAACCACACCACCAAGCTCCCGAGGTATCATAGCACATGAGCCTGTCCAGTGGTGGGCACCTGCAGCCCTCTCTAAGACATAGTTCTTGGCAATCGTAATGTCTGCAAATCCTCCAAGTTTTGGCATACTCGGGCTGCGTTTTCCGTCAGGTTTTAAATGATGCGAGAGAGGCTCGGTCATGGCAATCTTCTCAGCCAGCTGAACATGTCTGGCAAGTATCTCAACATCAAGGAGATGTGAAAAGAAGTTTGGATCAATAGAGATGTCTGATGAGGAAAGTGGCGTTGAGGACGACTTGATATGTACCGAACCACGAGATAAGGGATGTGCCAGATGAATGCCCATAGTAAAGTATTTCTCTGTCCCAGGCCCAGGAGGAATAAAGGATCCAGCCCCGGAGAGGCACATGTGACCGGGTACGATCATGTAACATCCAGAGGCTTCTTTTGGAGACACAAGGACGGATTTTTCGAATGTTTCGTGTGCTTTGATAAGAGATGCCGACGTATTCGAATGCTGCGGCAGCACGGTATCCAAAGTTTGCTTTAACTCGGCATCCATTTCAAGTTGTAGTTGAGCAAGGATATTCAAATTGTTCTTGGATCCTGGTCCGAGGCCTTTTGCATATTCCGCTTTTACTTTTGGAATAGCCTCTTTATCTTTGCGCAGTAAATGGTCGATCGTGTCAAAACCATCCTCATCGCGTGCTTCGAAGGTAACCGTGACAAGAGGATGATTTTACAAGTGCTCGCCGACGTTGGGATTGTTAACGATGACTTCAATTCCAAATGGCTCCAGAATATTTGGGTTGCCAACGCCTGAAAATCCAAGTAAACGCGGAGAATTAATTGTGCCCCCACTAAGAACGACTTCTTTGTTTGCCAAAACGGACTTCAAAGTCCCAGTTCCACTGTCACGAACCGTAATACCAACTGCAATGGGAGTATCGGAATCTGAATTTTCGAAGATGATTCGATCGACAGTAGCTTTTGTCCAAATGGTGAGATTAATTCTTGACCGAACTGTATCGTCCAAGTATGCCTCAGCTGAATAGCTTCTCTTCTTGTCAAGACCAATTGTTTCTCCCCCCATCAAGCTTCCCAGAATGTTGCCAGAAGTCAATCCATCCTGAGCAACCGGGAAACCAAGCCTAGCAAGTGTGTCCCTCCATACACGCGGCCACTCTGTATCCTCTTCTGGGATAGTAATCTGGAGAGGGCTTTTAGCGGGATTCGTGGTGGATGTGGCTGTGGCTAATGTAAATCGATCCATAGACCTAGAGAAGGCTTCCCAATTCCAGCCTGAATTGCCAAGGTTGGCCCAGGCCTCAACGCTTGATTTAGAGTTCGGAAGAAAGGCGAAACCGTTAATAGCGCTTGATTCTCCAAGCAAACGGCCGGCACTCGCTGAATTCGTGCGGTTTCCGATGTTGGCCTTTGAATTCATTAGCAAAGCAAGCGTAGATTGCTTAAAACTCTCTTACCTGAGGAACAGTCGAAAAGCCCCAGTTGGCATCTGTAGCCATGAGAAGCGGGCCCAACGATGGGATATTGGTTCGAGGGTCACTTGTCAGGTCTTCTCCAGATTCTACAAGAAGGATGCGGTAACGCCCCTCCTCCGAGAGCCTGTTTGCAAGCATGCAACCGGCCGTGCCGCCTCCCACGATGATGATGTCGAAATTTTGAGAGGTCATGATGATTTCGAGGGCAAGGTCCAGATTTTGATGCTCGGGCTTTAAGTATTGAAATAGAGAACTGTGGTATGAGTGGGATGCTGTAGGGAATCGTTTTGGCTATCGGGAATAAAAGTTGTGAACGACTTTATATATCCCTCTGATGCTTGTGTACCGTGTGATTCTATATTGGTGATTCTTGTTTCATTTGTCTCACAAGTATGGCCTCGATACTAGAATTTGTCAACTATCTAGCCATATAGGCTAATAAACATAATATGAATGCTATAATATAGAGCTTGGGAGATTATGAGAGATCTTCTTAGATTGGAAGTGAGTAATTTTAGAATCAATAAGTAATGTGCCTTAATTCGTTTGCTACGCCATGGCTACGCGCCGGCACTAACCAGATCCAGAGTGCAGACTTTCTTGTTGCAATTGAGAAGCTACAGCTGTAATATATAGTAAATTCAGCTACTTTAAAATACAAAGAGATACTGATTTGTGATTTGTTACTGCCTCTTAAGGTATAATGACCCCGAGTACGAATAATAATTACTAGGAAAGATCGTACCTACCTAGTAGGTAGTAACTATTGTATTAAACAAAGGTATTGTTTACTAGCTCACTCGCCTAATCTGACGATGAACGCACAGATCATATCCGGATCCAGATGAGCTTACAGCATTGAAGGGCATAGCAGCTGAATAAACATGGTTCAAGTGTGCTATAGAACCTACAACTGGAGCTTGGAGAACTCGTAATCTATTATGTTGCAAGATGCTAGCAATGTGTATGAGATCAGTACGCGTGTGCAAATTCATATGGCAGGACAGGATTGCGAGTAGACGAGTTTGACTTGGATATGCTTGAGCCTCTTGCGGATCTACAATTGGTCTCGGAGTTATATCTCAATTTAATCTTTTGCACATAAGTATTAGTCCCTGTCTCCCTACGAATATATAAATCTGCTCTCTCGTCAATGAGAAGAAGCGAGCACATATAGATGATCTGAGTTTAGTCACCTCAAGATTAAAAATACCAAAAATAATCATTATCACTTCATCCAGTACAATAAATCAACCGACAACATTGGTCATTTCTCAATTCCACTCGTTCAAATAAGCCCGATTTGTGTCCGCCTCCTTACTGCAGCTCAGAATATTAGAATACAATAACTGGATTCCAAAATTCTCACCGAGTTATTACTCGATATTGTCAGTACCGAACTTCAACGAAAACATCTATATTTGTAGGAGATCTGGTCTCAACCCCTAAATTTCATAATGAATTAACGAATGAGAAGAAGAATAATAAGAATAATAATAATAATAATAATAATAATAATAATAATAATAATAATAATAATAATAATAATAATAATAATAATAATAATAATAATAATAATAATAATAATAATAATAATAATAATAATAATAATAATAATAATAATAATAATAATAATAATAATAATAATAATAATAATAATAATAATAATAATAATAATAATAATAATAATAATAATAATAATAATAATAATAATAATAATAATAATAATAATAATAATAATAATAATAATAATAATAATGAAAATGCAACTATGTGCTTAATTTGAGAGTAAATTAGTCCTGTAGCGATGTAGACGTAAACTTCCGTCTGAGTTCCTCGAATGTTAATCACGTATGTCGGTATGTGTTCGCAAATTCATGAATCGCGGCATTTCGGGGGTTACATCTGTATCGACTCATTTATCAACCCGTCATTGGATCAATACATATCCGATTTTAATGAGCAATTATTAGTTAGGTGGTGAGAGAGAATTATTAGTAATTTGGTGAGTTTGAATATAACAGTAATAAGATTAGACATTCGAAAAAAATACTTCTCTCCGTTATGCTCAACCCTCGCCCCGTATAGGGAATTCCAAGCACTGTTTGCAACGTTGCGTTTAGTTTCAGAACCTTTTTCACGGAGTTAATTTTTTTAGGGAGCTGTTGGCCTCGGTGATTTTTATCTACTGTACCTACCTACTTCATTCATTCAAGGACTAGGTACTGGGGGCGTATATTCTCCAAGTACCATTATTCTAATAAAACTAGTCCCATCCCAGAAAATTACGAAGTCAACTATACAACTGGTAATGGTTATGAAATTTATAAACGTTCCCCGAAGAAGCTCAATATAATTGGAACTATTCTCGTCTTGCTCGCTACTGTCTCTTTGGCTGCCGGCTTCCAGGAAGCAGGTTGAAATCTGCATATTTTTTTGCTTGAAATTTCTAATGTACTATGAGTGTTGCTTGTTCTATGGGAGTGGAAGGTTACGCTCCTCAATGGTCCTCGGGAGCCCGTGTTACACTGGAGTATTTTGACAAGGCAATGATAGGAATTTTGCTGTAAGTCTGTCGTAAACACTTACTTCTAGTAATCATAAAACTGAAGATATCAGCCCGTTATTCCCGATTGGAGGTCCGTTAGTAGTGACGATATCTCAAACGCCCCAGATGTTCCAATCAGTCATGGACTAAGCGGTCTAGATGTCGGTATAAGAGCTGTACCTTTCACGGCACTCTAGGCTGTCGGGTTGCTGGTCTCGCCTACGTTAGCCAGTAAACTTAAGGTTCCGCCAATCTACATTGTACTCACAGGCTCGTACATTCAAACTATTAGATTTCCATAGTAGGGAACAATACCATTTACCCTTCAAATTCCTTCCAGGATCTACGCCTACGAAGTGATTGCTAGATCAGGCTGTGACCTGGTCTTCCTTTCGCTGTCTATCATGATACCCTTCGTAGCCAAAACGCGTGACCGAGGCAAGTTGTTTGTGTTTTTATTCTTGCCCCAATGAAGAGCTAATTTGAATTTAGCTGTAGGAATGGCCACGGGAAGTAAATTCCAAGTCATGGGCAGTATTATTGTACTCTGGATTGACACTTCAATCTTCAATGGCCATACGCGAGCCCTGCTTGAGTCTCTCCTCGGAGGGTCTAGTTCGGTATCAATTGTTAATCATGGAGTGTCAATCCAACATATATAGATTCTAATTCATCCAAGGAAAATATGCCTCAGGCATTTATACTTTTTCACACAAATGCACCTCAATTGATCCTTTGATCTTCAATCAATTGATCCCACCACTATTATAAAGCTTACCCCAGAATTAATCACATATTCTGAGATCCCTCAATCGTTTTATCAATCCATTCAAGGTTGTCAACTAGATTGTAAAGGGTTCGTAAGCTTTCGTAAGTTTTCGTAGGCTTTCCCCTGCCCAACTACAACAAACTCTGCCCTAACATCAACAATACTTATTGCCAATCAGAAGGGATTTTATAGATTTGAGAATAACGAAAATAGCCTACTATATAGACATACAATTACACAATATAGAAAGTATATGATCACTTGGTTTGCTTCTACGAATCCATAATATCAGACTAGTTCTTTCAAACGAATTTTTTCTACTGAAAAATTCGACTAATCTATTAACCTCATATCTCCGCCCTACTAACAAAAATCTAAATATAGATACCTTCAAGAACTATTACTAAACAATAAACACAAGCAATCAATTCTTATGTAGTGATTGGCTCGAAATTGGGTGAGAGATTCTCTATAACACAATACATAATAATATAGATTTAATTAATCACCAGACTCACATCTACAAGACACAATATCCGGCATGGTGTAGTGGCTAGCATTTCCGCCTCTCATTCGAAGCTTTCGAGCTTCAATCAAGTCGCGGGAGACCGGGGTTCAATTCCCCGTACCGGAATCAATTTTTGCTTCGAAATCGTTCACCTGGTCCTTCAGATTGGTTTCATTATGTATCTGTTTTGTCGTTTTGTCCTTGAATCTAACGAATATAAACCGGCTTACAGATATCACGTTATGAATATGGAGAAAATATCTTTCCTGGGCACTAATTTTATGCACGTCTAAATCAACTTCGACATCTTTATCAAAAAGGCTCTCATTGTATTTTCTCTTTTGTTCCCTTGACGTTATTCAATCAAGTACCTATCGTGTGGTTAAACTAACCATTCAACATTACCTACCCGTGGACATTCATGGGATTCCCGTCTGTCAACCTTAACTAAAAGAATGTGGCGTCCAGACGTCGCTTAGGAGGTCCACGGGTAGCAGCGCAGCCACTTCTAAAAATTAACCCTAGCCACACCCCCCACAATGAAAGTTTTTACTCCGTATGTATGTTCATCAACGCTCCACCAAGCAGATATGATTATCTATTTCGAATCATTTTTGTGTAATAAGTATTGATAGTATTGGATCTTAATACTACCTAGGTACATGTCTGAAGATGGCTTTGCATAAGTTAGGTATACTCGTACAGATGTAAGCTTTTCTTCGACCAATGAAGCCAAGTGGCTCACGATACAGGCTTAAAGGAACCTTGGAATGTCGCATTACATTTTTGGTCAGCATTCATTTTACGGTATCAACGAATGGCCTGTTTGTATAGTATCTCTCCAAGCCTATAGTGGCAGATACTGAATATCAACATATATCTAGCACAAAAAGTTACAGACAAGTCTGCGTGCTCCTTCATTATCACTCTTATTATATTTTATACATGAGATGGATTTCAATTCCAAGAACCCACTTTTTAGACCCCGCTGGGGCTGGCAGTCCCGCTACCACAAACTAATTACTCTTGACCGCCTTTTACGCATGCTGCGCATCTCAAATCTGGTACTGATGTGCTTTCTCAATAGTCTGTTGTAGGCTGTATGAGAACTTCCGATGGGATTTCTCTCTGTTCAGTGCGTTGGCATATAGACCTTATTCAGTAATGTGTGGGGCCCGACCCGACCAAGTCAATGCATAGGGCAGCAATCTGCGGGCATGGGTCTCGAAATGCGTCACATTCGATTGACAGCCTCGTTTTTTTCTTCCCTTCTTCTCGTTCTGAAATTTTCTTCTTTCCCATTGCGAAAGAATTTCCCTTCTATTTGTATCGCCAGCTGCATCTTCATAGTGACACCAATAGACTTGCAGGTGATCATCCATCGACAAATCTAATTCGTGCTTCTAATTCCCAGCCCATAGTAAACTACTGCAGAACAGTTATACAAAAAAACTGGCCCTTTTCATGTGGATACTTCTTCTGATACCAAGCAACAAGGCTGTAATATTATCCATACATGGAGAACATAGATGTGGCTGCCTCTGATAAGGCGAGAGATTCAGAGCA